AAAAAAAAAAAAAACCATTTCCAACCCAATTAATAAAAATTGATAGTGAAACGGAGGAAAACCTGAGACGAGAACAGAGGCTTCAAGAAACTGGTGGTCTTGATAGTCGCCGTCGCTAGATTGGGGACCGAAGCTACCTCGTGCGGAGTGGCAAGAAATGAGGATCGGTTCAAAAGCACGACGTCGTTTCGTCGTGAAATGTAAACGGATTGGGGAGCGACAGGACGAGGATCGGAGCGAGGAAGAAGAAGAAGAAGAAGAAGAAGAAGAAGAAGAAGAAGCAGCAGCATTTGATAGATGCGAGAAAGTCCAGAAAGCGGAGACCGTACGGGCACAAAGTTGAGCAGCGAGCATTATCCGCGAGAGAAAGACAGAAAGCTATTTGGGTTGGAGTTTATGAAACGAAACCAACCAAAGAGGAAACAAAGGTAGTTGGAAAATGAAGGAACACCGACGTCTACATGTGTTTTAAATCTTCAAGCTTCGATGCGGAGAGCTTTTGTTAGTAGCGAGGAAGGAGCTTCAACTTTACCTTTAGCGACAAAGATTATTTTAACTTATCTTTAATCAATTAAACGAAAGAAGCTGCGACGACGTTTTGGAATTTCTTGTACAAAACAAAACCGGGCCTTTTCAGTATATAAAAGCTAGCACTAGCGACGGCCATACCCAATATGTACTTACAAAAGCCCATTTCCTCGCCTACGCTTTAAATGCAACAATAAAATTATTCATGGTATGCAGTTTTAGAGAATAATGGGGAACTATTGGTTTGATCATTTCTCATAATTACATAATTACATGTTGCAAGCCCATCAATATTCTTTTCATCTGTAAACGTTGATCAGTACCCAGTTGTCTCATCGGTATCTAGTTTCAAGTAAACCTGAATGAGGGTGACAGTATTTGCCATGGCTTTCAAGGGCAGCTGGAACATCAATAATCCTTGGTTATCAGGGCTTCGGAAGCTGCTTCAATAGCTTGATCAGTTCATACGTTCTTGTGTCTTGACCAGAGTAAAGGCAAAGGTCAAGTGGGGTTAATCCATCCTAAAATGAGCAAAAGACTCATAATGTGTAGATATAAGTGGAAATTGAAGCTAATAAAATAGCTCATGAAGGAGATTTTAAACCAAAAAAAAAAGAAAGAGAACAAACATGAATTAACATCCATAGGTTAGAAATCAATCACCAAAAGAATTGTAGCGGAACTGGTTAAAATAACATCAGTTCATAAGAATCGCAATATCCTTACCTTGCTTTTCAGCATCTTATCTGCTCCTCTAATTAATAAAAGCTTCACTATATCAGTTCTCCTAGCTTGAACAGCAAGGTGTAATGGTGTCCAACCATCCTAGAAAGGGCATAACAAATGCATTATCAAATGAAACTTAAGCACTGAAAGCAAACTCATAAAGCAACAAACTGGGAAAGGTTAACCATACATTGTCCTGAAGATTTATATCTACATTATATAACAGAAGAAGTTTAATTGTAGGAGTTGATGCTGTATGGACAGCATAATGCATCAAGGTGGCCCCATCCTGTTGGCATCAGAAAAAGAAAAGGTAAATATTAACACAAAAATCAAGCTGAGTCACTCTCAGTTAGAAAAACAAGTTATATCATGAAAGTATCCCAAGTCTTGCCTCTCCCCCC